AAACCCGATACACCAACTTAGAAAAGGTGGCCTTGGCGTTAGTCACCTCGACAAGGAAGCTTAGACCATACTTCCAAGCTCACAATGTTCGGGTACTTATCGACCAGCCCCTCAAGCAAGTACTCTAGAGGCCAGAAGCATCTGACTGCCTAGTTAAGTGGAGTGTGGAGCTAAGCAAATTTGACATCGACTATGTTCCTTGGCCTACCATCAAAGTCCAATCCTTGGTTGATTTTCTCGCATAATGTACCTTCATCACATAAGACCCGACCCCAACACCGCAGATTTGGACTCTCTATGTAGATAGTTCATCCAACAGATAAGGCAGCCTAGACAACATGGTACTAGAGCACGCCCTAATCGCCAAACTTCGACTTCCCCTAGACCTCAGAGCCCAATAAGTCGAAGCTTTCAGTGACTCACAGCTGGTAGTCAACCACATCCACGGCCAGTTTGAGACGTGGACCCCCACCATGGCGAGCTACTTACAGAAGGTGCAAGAGCTCATACAACGACTTGAGCAATTGAATATTCAACAAATTCCCTGAGTTGAAAACATCCGAGCTGACGCACTATCAAAGTTAGCCAGTTCACCATAGACCAACCTTGACTCGGCAATGCAGATGGACACCTTGGCCTAGCCAAATATTGTACCGACAGCCCTCCTTATCCTCCCTGTTCAGCATGGCCCATCTTGGATGGACCCCATCGTACAGTACCTCTGGGATGGCATACTTTTAGAAGACCGAACGAAGGCCAAGAGACTTGTGCACAGATCAGCTCGATATTGCCTCATCCAGGGATAGCTCTACCGCTGCTCACACACTCTCCCCAACCTAAGTTGTCTTCCACCCTCTGAGGTCGAATATGTCCTCAGGGAGATACATGAGGGTATCTATGGAGATCACCTTGACACCTAAACCTTGTCTCACAAGGCACTCTGGCAAGGATAATTTTGGCCGACCATGAAGCAGGATGCAACCTAGCTTGTCAGAAAGTGCAATAGCTATTAGAGGCATTCCAATCTCCATCATCAATCAGTAATCCCCTTGAAGCCRATCACTAGCCCATGGCCCTTTAGGCAGTGGGGAATGGATATCCTTAGCCCTTTTCCCATCGCAGTCGCACAAAAAAAGTTCCTCCTAGTGGTAGTGGACTACTTCACCAAATGAGTGGAAGCCAAAGCCATAGCACACATTACTGCACATAATGCCCAGAACTTCTTCTGGCAAGGTATTGTCTGTCAATTTGACATTGCTTGGGTTCTTATCATAGATAATGGAGCATAGTTCACTAACTACAAGTTCGAAGCCCTCTACGCCAACCTAGGGATCGATCACCAGACTACAGCCGTGCACTGACCTTAGAGTAATGGGCGGACCGAAGTAACCAACTGAACCCTACTACACGGCCTAAAAACCAGACTTGACTAGGCCAAGGGAAGGTAGTTGTGGAGTTGCCTAGTATCCTCTGGGCCTATAAGACTACTCCACGAACAACTACCGGGGAAACGCCCTTCAGCCTATCCTATGGGGCTGAAGCCATGATATCCATAGAAATAGGCTCGCCGACTCTTTGAATCGAGTTCTACGACGAGTAGAACAATGAAGACCTCCGTGCAGAATTATACCTAGTGGAAGAAGCATGGAACCAAGCATACATCAGGATTGCAGCACAGTAGCAAAGGATGGCCAAATACTACGACTCTAAGGTCCAAAGAAGGGAATTCAAAACCGGCGATCTTATTCTCCGCAAAGTCATAGTGCCCACACCAGGAGAAGGAAAGCTCGGACCCAAATAGGAAAAGGGAAGAGACCATCCACAAGTTAAAGGACCACATCCATGATCTCAAAGAGGCGTGGGAGGTGCTGAAAAAGGGGCTTGAGGAGGTTGAGGCGAAGATAGCTTGGATGAAGGAGGAGGGTGTCACCGAGTATAGAGCTTTGAAGGCTCATCAGAACAAGATAGATGACTATGCTACCAACTCTTGGCAGGAGGGATTCGCTCTCTGTCAGAGGCGTGTGATGCATCAATTCCTAGAGGTAGCCGGTGTCGATCAGGGTTTTGCCCTGTTTGATACTCAAGAGCTTGCTTGCGAAGATGCTATTGTCATTAATGCCCAAGAGCATGCCGAGGACCCCCAACAGAAAATTGATGTCCTATCTCTTTTCATAGCTATGATTTTATAGTTCTAACAAGTGTACTAGTTATCAAGTAGTATAATGATATCGTTCCCACGGGGATTTAACAAAATAAGTATTAGAACTACATCMTTCCTTAATTATTTGGACAACCGAATTTCAAATTTAACAATAAGAACTACTGAAAATTAAGATTAGAAGAAAAAAAATAAAAGCAAAGACAATCAATAGCTGGATTTGCAACGATTAATTGAAATGACTAGGACCATTGGTCCGCCTAACCATTCCAATGAATATCAATTGATGAGCTTTAACCAAGAAAATTTATCATTTTCAAAAGCTGAAATTTTTCCAAATTTATTTAATATTCTTTCTCAAGATATATCAAATCTATTTCTATCAAGTTACCCTTCGATCTCTCAACTAGAGTTCTCTAAATAGAAATGCATTAAGTTCTATGAAAAACTTATATATTCAGATGAATCATGTATATATATTTCCTATATACCATTCAATTCACACCATGAATTATTCAGTCCATTATATGAATTCCTCTCCCGATTCATTCACATAAACTAAATCAATTAAAATGTGGCCAAACTCCTAATCGCATTATGCATAATAACTCATAGACAATATGAAAATAACAATCTTGGATAAATCAGATTTGAAATCATTTCATTATCACGGTTAGGCTTTCTACAACCCTAACTATAAATAAATTAATTCATAATAGAGGAAATAAAACAAACAAGAGGTAAGAAAAAACTCATGATGTCGCCATTGAAACTGATATCTTGTCTTTCCTTGCCGCCACCTCCTTCTTGAAGCCTTATTGCCTTGTTGATCTCCTTCTTGAAACTTTCTTAATTGTCTTCTTAATTGTTTCAGAGAGAGATTGAACAATTCAGGTGCTGGTCCACCACCCCCCCCCCCCTTTATATAGTTTTAAGGGGAGGGGCTGTTACAATTATTTAGAGTTATCTCAAGAATGGATAATCCAGGTTAGTTCTAAACTAATCCTATCCTATCTCTTATCTAGTGATCTCAATCTTCTTTAACTTTTTAGAATTACATTTGAAATTCAAATCTGAGAAGACTCTGGATTATTGAATTCGAGTTGGGCTTCTTTAATAAGTTGGGTTGCTACAAGGCTTTTCTGCGAATTGGGCTTCAGTTGTGAGCTGGGCTTCACTACGGATTTGCTTCGATTGTGGGCCGATTTCGACCTCGATTCAGGCCGAATCAGTTAAAACCCAAAACATGAAAGTTGTATAGTTCTCTCTTATCTTTCCAGTGCATTTTGAATCAGCTCAATTGGAGTCCGGATGTGAGAGTTATGCTCGGATTACTGAACGGTGCTGAAATTGTGAAAAATCATCCGATTAGCCTTATCTTCCTTCTGACGACTTCTTCCTTGCTCTGAATCAAAATGCAAGAGTAATGAGTCCAATTAAGTGTTAATTAAGTGTAAAAGGACTGAATATTCAGAGATAAAAATATGATAATTTTTATTCACATCAAATCCCCTCACACTTAAACTTTGCCGGTCCTCGGGCAGGACAAAACTCAAGCAAAAATAAAATAGGAACAAACTAGCTATCTACTGATTTTTAAAGTCTCTCTCAACATGATGCTTGTCCTCTCACATGCCTTAATCCAGATTTAATAATCCTTCCATTGTTCACTTCTTTCTCCTCTTTAACTCGTTAAAGAATAATCTCAAATCACCAATCCTCATGATCCCAAGTTAAATCAGTAATCAAGGGGAGAAAGCATTCCACCACATGAACATTTTAGGACTAAAGTAAGCACTCATTGTTTTAACAATCAAAATGCAGCAAGATTAAAAATACCCTCTCATTGTTTTCGCTCTAAGCATTCATAATTTTTCAGGTCAAAACAAGGAATGTTATTACCATAAGCTTGTTTATGTATCACATCTCCACCACTTAGCATGAGTTCAATGCATCAAAAGGTGAAATGGGGCTTGTGGTTCTAGGGGTGAGTGCATTTTATGCTCATTCTCACCCTTTTCTTTTGCTTTTAGTATGAGTGCATTTTATGCTCCATCTCACACTTTTCTTTTGCTTTTAGTGTGAGTGCATTTTATGCTCCATTTCACATTAGTCACTATATATATATATATWTTTTTTTTTTCTTTTTTTTTTATATAACAACTTTCCTTTTTCAAATTTCACAAGAGCATCACCATTTTCATTCCAATCCATGAACTCGTTATTGTGGTCTCAACATGTCTAACAAAGCAAGTTCTAGAATAATCAAACCGTGTTTGATAGACATTTAGGCGAAAAGTAACCAAATGCTCATAAGGGTTAAATTTGTATTTACTCTTGCCTATTGATCATTCAAAATAATGAGGTACYTTACGTAGCCAAAAATTTCAGCTAGTCTTACTTGCATCCTATCTTGTCTATTCAACCTAAGCACATAATTCATGATAGTTTGAAATCATTCAAAAACAAGTTTCTAGGGAGTAGAAATTTCAAAAAGAAAGGTTAAAAAGTGATGATCGAAGCATGCTAGAGTTAACTCAGAATTTATCAAATACCCCTAATCCCCCCACACTTAAGGTATACATTGTCCCCAATGTGAGGTTAAATGCAAAGAAAGGGCAGAAAAACTAAACTAGAAATGCAAAAACAAAAAGAAAAAGGAAAAACAAACTTCCCTATTTTTAATAAACATGAATTGGATCCTCTAACTCTTGTGGTTGCAGCTTTCAGTGTGCTCCCCTTTCATCCATCATGGGTGGGTTCAAATCTGGAATAGGGGCCTGCAAAACAGAGGGTAACGGTCTCTCATTAGAAATCGACAACATAATATAATGAGCATTACCTTGTCTTGGCTTGCACTCTTCCTGACCGGCCTCCAAATAGTTCAACGCCTCTTTAACTTCCTCCTCCAAGACCTGCATGTTTTTACAATAATTAAGAATGCAGCTTTCTAMGGGATCATCTAATTTAGATGCATTAATTTCTGTTGCCTAGACATCAATGCAGTCGATTGCATATATTTCATGTTCCATTGTGTTGGGATATTTCATGGTTTTAAATACATTAAACACCACTTCTTCACCATTGATTCTAAGAGTAAGTAGACCTTTTTGTACATCAATTAAAGCATTACCAGTAGCAAGAAAGGGTCTCCCTAGAATCAAAGGCATTGTCCTATTTTCCTCCATATCCAACACAATGAAATCAGCAGGAATAATGAAATTACCCACTTTGACTAAAACATCTTCTACTATTCCCCTAGGATATTTAATGCTTCKATCARCTAATTRTAGGRTAATAGTTGTAGATGTTAGTTCATGCAATCCAAGTTTTTCAAAAATAGAATAAGGCATTAAATTTATACTAGCACCTAAATCACATAAAGCTTTTTCAAATTCAATATTCCCTATGGTGCAAGGTATAGAAAAACTCCCTGGATCCTTAAGCTTTGGGGRCAATTTATTTTGAAGAATGGATGAGCACTCTTCGTTTAATTTCACCATCTCACATTCTTCCCATTTCCTTTTATTTGACATCACCTCTTTCAAGAATTTGGCATATTTTGGCATCTGTGACAATACATCAAGAAAATGGATGTTAATATGTATTTTTTTAAACACTTCTAAAAATTTCTCAAATTGTTTATCCAAATTAGCCTTCAAAACTCTTCTAGGGTAGGGGAGAAGAAGTTTAATAGCATCTAAATTCAGTTTAGGTGTACTCCCTTCGGTCTCCTTTTGTGAATCGGCCACTTCAGCTTTCTGATCATCATTCTCGGTCTTGCCAATAATCTTCCCACTTCTTAAAGCAATGGCATTCACTTGCTCCCTTGGATTCTTCTCTGTATTGCTAGGCAATCGTCCCTCTCTTTTTTCTGACAATATATTCACAATCTGCCCCACTTGGACTTCTAAGTTCTTAATTGATGCTTCTTGATTTAAGAATCTCTTTTCATGTTCTTGGAATTTTGCTTCAGCAACATTAATGAACTTAGAAATCATTTCTTCTAAATTACCCTTCTTTTCTTGTGGGGGTGGCTGTTGTTGAAATCCCATGTTGTTCCATGAAAAATTCAGATGACTCCTCCACCTTGGGTTGTATGTATTCGAATAGGAGTTGAAATTCGCTTGCCACCATGAGAAATAAAATTAGCATTTTCATGTGGAGTAAAAGGATTACCTACCGGACAGTCAGAATTAATATGTCCTAATTGACCACAAAGATCACATGGATAGCTAGATGATGCATTTATTGCTGCAACGTTAAGATTATCTAAATTTTTATTCAAACTAGCGAGTTGAGCAGATTAAGCTACAAAAGAATCTATATGGTGTACTCCCCTTCGATCAGCTCGATCATTATTCCATTGGTAGCTATTTGACACCATTTCTTCCACTAGATCATAAGCTTCCTCTGGCATTTTCCTCATGATGGTACTGTTAGACAGTTTTGTATGCCCTTAGCTTCAATCTAATTTGATGTACTTTTTGATATTTAGTGTAAATAAATAAAGTGTATGTTTGATTCATGTTGTTTGGTAAAATTCTGTGTAAGACCCTAAAACTGGACACTTATAGAGACTCGTGTTAGTTTTAAATGTTCACAGCCATTGGATAAGTCTGGGGAGATTTATCCTGCCAAGG